TAAAAAGAAGGAGAGACCAAGAGGATGAAAAATCTGAGGCTGAAGGCAGAAGGACTCTATGAGGCTAGCCATCCCCATGCTTGAGGTATTCCCACCCCACCCCAGGCCAGATGGCAGGACCAGGTCTTCAAAGCCTTACGGAAGGCCCGGAGTGAGGGGGCCAATCGCACCTCCAGGGGCAGAATGTTCCAAAGAGCGGGGGCTACTGCAGAGAAGGCCCGCCTTCTGGACCCCGCCAGTCGAAGTTCTTTCACTGAGGGGGTCTGAAGCATGCCCTCTCTGTGTGATCAGGTGGGACGGGTTGAAGTCATAGGGGAGAGGCGGTTATGTCAGTTGTCCCCTGCTGACACCCAAATAAGAGAATTCAAAAAAGTTACAATTCAGCTGCCCAGACTGCTTTCCCATCCATGTTCAAAATCCCAACTTATGGATTGCATTTCCTGCTTACCTAAAGTAGAGACATACAAATCGGCCTGTATTTATTTAGCCCACTTCAGTTTTGCGTGTGTTCGTGCATAAGTCCATTCTATCAAATCTCCTCTTAATGCACTTTAAGGCATGTGAAAATGTAAATTAATTTTGTTCATCAGTACAAGCCTTTTTGCACACAACGTTTGAGCCAAGAACTGTATTGTTAGATCCGAAGTGCTGGATTTGAAAGATAGCTCTATTGTAATCTGCATTATGCAAAAATGTAGGTAATTTAAAAATTGCAAACCAAACGGAATTGACCAATAATTCTAATCCCAAAGACTCTTTCACAGGGGCAGTAAGGCTGTGCTTCCTGCTACTTGAAATTTATAAGAGGGAGAAAGCTATGACCCCATATGCAATTTCCAGTCCCTCCCCTTTTGCACTCCTGCTGTTGCCAAATCCAACGGCAACCTCGGCAACTTTAAGACGTGTGGACTTTGACTTTTGGAATTCTCCAGCCAGCCATGCTGGCTGGGGAATTCTGGGAGTTGAAGTCCACACATCTTAAAGCGGCCAAGGTGTCATAGCATCTGGGCCTGGTGTACTGTGTACAAGAGCATCGCTTAGCAAGGCTAGCTTAGCTTCATATGCAATCACTTGTAAATTCTGATACTGTGGGGAAAAAAATCAGTCTTCAGGAAATAGGAATATCACAAAGATCCAACTTTGATCAATAATGCAAGAATAGTTTCTGAACAGATTAACCCCCTCCCCCCCATAACTCAGTACAGTAAGCGTCCACTGTGTACTTTTCAATTGATTTTTAAACCAAGGTAGATTTCTTCCATAGTATTTTCTTAGTGAAGACTCAAAGACAAGCAACAAGTACATTCATAAAGTAGAATCAGGCAAGTATTTTCAAATAGAAAATGGGTCTTAATGTTGTGAATGCTACCAAGAAGAGACTTTTTGAGAGTGCAATGCATCTTATTAACATATTTAGGAGATTTACAGCGTGCCTGTTAATTTCAACAAAATTCAGGTGGTCGTTCCACTTAAATAGTGAAGTTATATTAAAAGCAGTGCTAATGTCTGAGCTATAAATGCAACAGATAACTTAGTAAAAACAGATCAGCAATAAATAACTCAAAATCGTATGGTAATATATATCAGTCTTTAGCCCAAAGTGCTCTCAAGCAAACTTCCTTTAGCAACAAACAGTGTCTGTGCTAGATAACAATAGCAAGGTGTGTAACACAACAGCCTCCCTTGCCGTTGTCTTGCTGCAACATCTCTGCCAGGCATAAGAATAGCCTCATATATTTACTGAAGATGTTTTATGGCCAGAAGTCCAGTAAGCTTTAGTAGCATGTGGAAGGAAGGGAGGAATACCTAGAAATAGGAAAGCGAGACTCTTCAGTGTTTAGGTCACTGTGGCTTACTATCCCTGCCCAGAAGATTTGGCAATTAGAGGTAATAAAAGGCAATCTCCATGTCCTGGATTTCAGTGGTTGATATTAAGTAATCTTTTCCAAGGCAGGTCTGGATGATAGGAGTCCCGTAGAACTGCTCTTGTCAAAGTAGAGTAGAAAAAGATTTGAACAGAAAAAAATTCAAGTCTCTTGCATCACGTATAAATGAATGTTTGTACGTTGCGTCCATCTGCACGACTACTATCTCCAAATCCTGATTTCCGTTTTCTTCTCCACAACCCCCACCCCCACTTGCTCTTACAGTGAAGCTGGAAAGATTTGAAATCCCTGTCAAAGTGCGTCTAAGCCCAGAGCCCTGGACTCCAGAGACAGGGTTAGTCACAGACGCGTTCAAACTGAAAAGGAAGGAGTTGAAGAATCATTACCTCAATGACATTGAGCGGATGTACGGAGGGAAATAAATCTCCAAATCACCTGCCATCAGAAACCGTGCATTGTTTCTTCTAGAACTGAGTGATGAATTAATTTCCCAAAGAGTGGTGGTATTTCTAAACGGAAGTGGCATTTCATAAAACAGTTGAAAATTGCACTCTGTTACAAAGAAGGAACAGCTGCACTGGCTGTTTCCAAGATCCTGTCAAAATGACTGACCCACTGCCGTTGGTTTCATTAGACCACGTCCAGTTCCAAATGGCTGTGTTCATATGAAACTCCCTCACTGGATAAACCAATGTTTCTCCCTTTCTATTCTGGCTTCTCTTACTCAAAAGCGATTAGATCATCTTTGCGGATCCCAATGCGATGACTTTAAAACGGATGAAAACTCCGAGCCGGTTGTTAAGGCGACACCTGTACCCTGAAAAGGTGTTGAAAGGGTGGGGCAGAACCGAGTCCCCTCCAAAGCACTGCATCGAAAATGGCTATCTCAGGTCCTTTGCTAGATTGCTCATTTTAATGTGATTGTCGTTGGTGGCACTAAGATGAAGAGGGATTCCTCTTGGGAAAATGGTACTTTTACCCAACTGCAAACTGACAGTCCAGCGCCACTACAATTCCCAATTGGGGTCTTGCACCACGTGCCAAGCTTTTTCCTTCCTGCAGTTTAATGATCAGCGGCACCATCATGCCCATCTCCGCAATGAAATTGTTCCCACAATGCTGAATTTTTATTGCTGATCCCCTAAATAGGCACAGTAGGTGGAGGGCCGTAGTTTCAGCTGCTAAAGAGAATGGTGGTGGTACTTTTTAAAGTCACATTTGTTCCTGCGTTGAAAAACGTCTTTCACTGCCATTTGGTGAGCACAGACTTAATTCTCTCGTATTTATTTATTTTTCCACAAATTCTTGTATCCTCTAAAGAAAGAGGGAAGAAATGCATGGTAGTATTCAGATATTTAGAGTGCCTAAAACAGAAACCATCCTCACGAGCAGAGGAAAATTAAGACATTCCAATCAATGCATTTCAAGCCCTCTTTCGAAAGATGACAAGTTGATGCCTTTTGTCATCTCTCACATGACTTTGGCTTGTAATAAGAACACTGGCCCAACTGTCACAATAACACTGGCATCTTTTCCGACCATTTATTTATTTGCACTTGCTTCCTTTAAGAACGAGCGGCGCAAAACAAGTCCTGCGGTTAAAGTAGTCTGCGTACTGTCTGTTTTTTGCAGAGCGTGATGCTTTGGAATGTATGCGCCTCTTCCTCTAAGCACATCCGCACCATTGATAAAATCCTTGGTTCTTGTTGGTTCTTGTTGTTGTTTTTATTTGAAAAGGGCATTTTAATTTATCTTTGACTATGTCACATAAAACAAATCACATTAAAATGGATTTCTCTTGTACGCGAGTGATGTACGTAGCCTCGGGAACTTTTTGTTTTAAAGTGTTTGTAAAGGGAAAGTTTTTGTCTGCTATTTTTATTTAAAAACTGGAAATCCTCGATGTATTGAGGGCGGGAGGGAGAAAGAAATAGGACAGCAGTCTCCTGTGTTCCTGTGTGCATTATTCAACGGAATGTCTTTCGTGCGCTCGGCTTCTCTCTTCTTGCTGGTAGTTCACACTTGAAACAGACGTACAGAAAAGAACGTGGCTATGATGAGATGCTGTTCTCCTGTGCACTTTTGATCCTCTTCTGTATGTTGCTTCCATTTTTGTACAGATGTGGCTTTCGGTTGCAATGTGTTACCTTTGATGGCTCTAAAGTATTTATAAAATAGATTTTTCTTTTATTCATTATGCTTTAATGTGTATATTATGGTAAAAAGAAAAATAATTGGATATTGTTCAGAGAATGAAGGGATTTTTGTATGAAATGTTGTCCAATACACAACGGTTTTAAGCACAAGTTGGGTAAGTTTTTCCTTTTGCAAAGGGCATAGGTGGGTGGGCTGTTCCAGAGCAACAACAGATCATTAATCCTGGTTATCCTGAGTGCCTGATCAGAACTGGCTGTGGGTGGGGACCAATTTTTAAGTCATGAGAGATATTTGATATAGCTTCTAGGCACGCTCATCCCCAGCTGTTGACTGAAAATGGAAAAATTCAAACCAGTTAGGTCAAGCAAGAGTGAATGCACTCATGGGTCTAGGAAAAAGCTTCTTAATAGCCCAACCAAACACATAACCTTATTTACATAAACAACAAATGCTTTCCCTACCATTTAGTGGGCTTTTTCCCCCAAACAAGCTCACCCAGTATGGGGTAGAACTTCTCTGATGTAGAAAGAAATTGATTATTTTGATTTCAGACATAACAAATGGTTAAACAGGAAATGGGCATGTACAGAGGAAGTAACTAATGTGGGCTTTCAGCAGCTCACAATTATATGTTTCACGCATACTGCTGGCCTGTGTCATCCTGGTCTCTCGACTAGCGTCACTTTCAGTACAGATGGAGCTGCTTTTCTAACGAACTTTCCAAGATGGCAGATGTCTTCATTGGTGCAGGTCGTGGGGTTCAAACATTTTTTGTTCTGCTTCATTCACACAGTTGTTGAGGCTGTAATTTTCCAAGATTTTTCCTAGTCTAAATGTGTGTAGTTCATAAGCGAGAGTATACCACATGAGTAGTCTGGGTTATACCACCATGCTCCTTACTATGGACAAGTTTTCCTAGAGCTGGGAAACACATCTCGGCGTACCAAGAGACTTGCCTTTCGCTTTCATATCAGAACAAATTAATATTACACAGACTTATCAAGAGGTGCTAAGAGACAAGAAGAAC